AGCAACTTGTCTGTTCCCCTTCCCCCAATTCCCCAGCACTGTTCCCATCCCCCCAATTCCCCAATAAAAATCTTTAAAAAAAAAAAGGATTCAGAGGGAACAAGTGGCATGATCGATGGGCACTGTGGGCCATGCGCATGAAAGTGGAGAGGTCGATAAGAGTTGTAGGCATGTGAGAGGCACTGCAGCGTGATGGCGGGGGGCTGGCTGAGTTTGAATCTCAGCCTTGATGCCAGCCCTACGGCCTTGCGCACACTTCCCCAGCACCTTCATCTGTAGAGGAGATACCCAGAATGAAAGAACTCGCACCCTCCTAGGCAAACTGACAATTCTGAAGTCAGGGTCACAACTATCGATACATCCAGAATTGGTTTAAATCCGCTTAATTAACCAGTGACAACTCGCCTCAGGAAACACGCCTGTGAAAGCCAACCAGTGATGGCGGCACACTTGGAAAGACAGCCAGTCAGGAGCGGAGGTACTCTAGTGACCACGCCTGAACATGTCACCAGCAGGCTTCTGGGGCTGATGTCACACCACTACCACCTCTATCCAGCACACCCCAAAGCGAGCTCTGCATTTTACTGAGTGATGGCAATTTTGGCCACCTGGGTGATAGATACACTATCTTTAACTCTATCTTTGTTCATGTTGGAAATGTTGCATAACAAAAATTGAATCCATCTAATTTTTAACAAACTCTTTCCCCAACTCCTACTTCCCTCTGACTTAAGTAACAAATGCAGCTGTCCCCTGCTCTGGTGCCCTGGTCGTAAATCCATTGTGACGACGACCTGCGCCAACACAGGTACCGTGGGTAAGAACACACCTGCCGCCCACCATGTGCTCTGTGAGTGCGTGCACCACTCCCCAGCTCTGGCTTAGCACGCTGTGATCACCTTGCAGAAACTTCTTCCTGAAAGCCTGGAATCCTGCCGACGTCCTGTTTCCAGTCGAGTCCCTGACGGAGAGGCCCGTGATGTTGTCCAGCAAGAGCAGATATGAGAGGTTGGCTGCCACCGGCGTCTGTGTGTTGTTCACCAGCAGATGCACCTGAGCCGTCTGGGACGTGCTGTGCCCGGACACCTAGGACGGGGACAGCAATGAGGGCAGACTGGCTGACAAGCCCAACTCCCAAAAATGAGGACCCAGCTCGGCTTGTGCACGTTCGGTCTCCAGGCAGAGAAGGTAGACGTGTGTGTGCACACACGCACACTCAAAATCGCACGCACATGGCAGAAAATGTCTCCGGGAGGACACAGGCGGGCATTACGGGCTCACACAGGTTCTGAGGATGTATCAGGTCTGATTCCAAAGGCCCCAGGAGGGTTTTGACTCACACTTGCCAAGCTGTTGCTTGGTGACAGTTTCAAAGTAAATGGGACTCTGAAATGCAGTGAAATCTTTCCTACAGAGAAACTTAGAAGGAGAACTATCCAAGCACAGAACCACAGTCAGGTTGGGGAGACTGTAACCACTGGTGTCACCAAGAAAAGCAAACAATGACTCCTTCTTCCTCTATCATTTGGATAATCCAGCCCCCGCCAGTCCAGGGTCCCTGACTGCGCTGTGGTCTCCAGGATGGCCCCGAACTGGTCTCCGGCCTCCCGGCCAGCCTTCCCCACCCAGGATCTGCCCAGCCGCATGTCTGACTGGCTTGGCTGCTGGAAACCATCCAGCGGCCCAACAGNACCATGATCACCACCACCACCACTACCACCACCACCACCACCACCACCACCACCACCACAACCACCATCATCACCATCTTCATCACCATGATCACCACCACCACCGCCATCACCATCACTATACCATCATCCTCACCATCACATGACCATCATCACCATCACTATCACCACCAGCAGCAGCATAAACAGCATCCTCGCCACCACCACCATCGCCATCACCAATGCCAGCACCACCCTCACCACCGTGACCAGCATCACCACCACCACCCGTTTGGCCGCTAACATGTATTGAGCAGACACTAAGCAGCAGAGATGGCTCTAAGTGCTGCACGCGCATTAATCCGTTTATTTCCCACAACACTATTTCGAAGTGGGCACTGTTTTAGTCTATATTTTACAAAGTATAATGCCAAAGTAGAGGTTAAATAAATGACCTAAGGTCACAGAGCTAGTCAGTTGTGGCCCCAGGACTCACACCCAGCAGTCTGGGCTAGTAGCCTTCACACCACAGCTGCCTCTCCAGGGGTCAGGCTCCTACAATGGGCCACCAGGGGCTTGTGCCACCGTGAACATTCAAATTCCCACTCTGAGTATGCAGCTCACCCTTCTAGAGCGAGTGGCCAGCATGACAATATTGTAATCCCTGAGTCTCTGGCCAAAAGTCTTCATTATCCCTTCAAAACTACTCTTAACCATCAATATCATGATTGAACTCTTATCACACAGCAGGCCTTACTCCCTTTTTTGTTGTTCAAACAACACTTTAAACTTGGAATTCTTACATCCATTTCATATGTGCAAACCAAGCTTTGCTAGAATTCTGTTTGCCTAAAATTCTCTATTTAAGTGGATACGTCACAATGGGCTGCCAGGGCTGACTCAGTGTTTGGACACAAGGGGATACGTTCCTGACACCCAGCTAATTCACTGATTCGATGAGTGCAGTGCTGGGAGCTAGACGGACAAAAGGAAACAGACCCAGGCCCTGCTCCAAGGAGCTCACAAGCCCACAGGGGAACGGACAGGCAAGCCGGCCGGGCAACACGTTGTGACAGGGTGAGGCTGGAGGAGCCTGGAGGGCTGGGGGTAAGAAGAGAGACAGCCCCTAACCTAGCTCAGGGTACACAGAAGGCTTCCCAGGAGGTGGTCCATTGGCAGAGGAGAGCACGCCAGGCCAGAAGAGGGCCAGCCAGGCAGAGGCATGGCCTGAGCAGGAACTGTAGGTGGCAAGAGACACAGCCCAGGTCCCAAAGGGCCTTCAAGAGCAGGTTAGGAATGTGTGGTAACATCCCGAGGGCTTGGGGAGATCACTGCACGGGTTTAATTCAGGAAGTACCGTGGTCAGATGGGTATTTTAGAAAGATAAACCTGGATGCCACAACCAAGGGAGGAAGGCCGAGGACGCGACACAAGGCTGTGGCTGCAGGAAGCCACAGAACATGCTAGGCCCTGGGCTGTGGCTCCACTCCACACTATGGGGGCGCAGGCCTCCCCCTCTCTAAGCTTCAGTTTCCCCATCTGTAATATGAGCATAAAAATAGCCTGCAGCTCCTCAATAAGTTAAACACAGAACTACCCTACAACCCAGCCATCTCACTCCTAGGTACATATGCAGAGGAACTGAAAACAGGTATTGAAACAAAACCCCACCCCTGAAGGTTCACAGCCACACTATTCACACCAACCGCAGAAGGGAAAAGCCCACGTGTCCATCAACTGATGAAGGGACGAGTAACATGCGGTTCGCCTATCCATTCGACGGAATATCATTTAGCCACAGAAAGGAGTGAGCACTGCCACACACCACAGCATAGACGGACTTCGAAAATATTATGCTAAGTGACAGAAGCCAGTCAGAAAAGGCCAAATACTGTACGTTTCCATTATGTGCAATGTCCAGAATAAGCAAATCTATACAGTGATGACAGATTAGGGGTTGCCGGGGGCTTGGGGAGGGGAAGAGAAGAGGGATGGACAGTAACCGCTTAATGGGTAGTTTCCTCTTGGGGTGATGACAATGCTCTTGAACTCGACAGCGGTGACAGCTGCACAACACTGTGAACGTACTCATGAAGCAGGGCCTGCTTGGCACCCCCACAGCAGAGGCCTCCCCGCATTCCCCACCTCACCTTTCCTTGACCTCCCTATAGCTTGACAGTAGATCAACCCCCTGTGGCTTGAGCTCGGACGTCCCCTGTCTCACCCAGTTCCCCGTTTTAGAAAATCACCTGAAACTTATGATTAATACCCTTAGGCTTGTTGTCACCATCTCAGAGGTCTACCAGGCTACTCCCATAATGGTTCCTGGGTTGCTGACGCCGCCAGAGAATCACGCGGCCAGAGGGAAGGCTCCAGGCAGACCCCCCAAACCCTCCGCAGCCTTTAGAGGAACGTCCAGGTTTTCCCTGAAAAACCCCCAGCCGGTCTGAGAATGGAAGGCAGTTTTTGGAGGCTTTACCCCGCTGTCTTTGACTCAGACCACGGGTGCTCTGATAATAAACGCTTATTCTATGGCCCAACTCCTGTTCAGTCTATTGGATGAGTGGTGTAGGCAGGACGAGCCCCGGATTCGTCTGGCCTCCGGTTTCACTAAATGTCAATAAGAGCAAATTTTATGGTTAGCTACTTTACCGCACACCAAAAACTAGGTCCTCCTGCACAGCGCTGCAGCACCCAGAAATCAGTCGGTGATTCTGAGCTGCTTTACCACTACCATCGCTAGGCTGGAGGGACGGGCACATATTAGGGGAGTATTTAGGACACAGCCACAGGATGCAGTGACTGAGTCAGGGAAAGGACGTGTAGGATGCCAGCGCCAGGGATGCGGGGTGGTGGCAAGAATGTCCCTGGATGTCTTGCTCGGGAGGCTGGGGACCGGTGAGACATACCCCTGCAGTGACAAATGAAGAAATCAAAGCAGCTTAGAGCACTAGCAATCAGCCCCCAAGTTAGTCAAGTTAATTGTTAGTACAGATTTCCAAGAGCCTATTTACCTTAAACTTCATTATCTGAGAACATGGAAAAGGAAGTGGCTCAGCCACCGCAGCTTCCTCATCCCCTGAGCCCTCACTAACTTTCCTTCTTGTGTCTGGAAAACAGTCATCCGTGATCACCGCCCCTTTAACCACGTATTAGCTGATAGCAGATTCCTTTCATGAGTTCCATCACTGCACTTACGGAGCGTGATGCTAGACAGAAAGGCCTTGTGAAAGGCATGCTGTAAAAGCTTAAAATCCAACACCAGGCTGCAAAAGCATGAGGAAGAATTTCTTATATAGTCTGACTTCAATTATGTAGTGGATACATTCATAGACTCCTGGAAAACAGGAAGCTAACATGTTAGCAATGGTTCTCTCTGGTGGTGGGATCGTGAGGGTAATATTATTTTATTGTTCCGTGTGTGTGTGTGTGTGTGTGTGTGTGTGTGTGTGTGTGTGGTGTAGAGTGGGTGTTTCCTCCTAATGGCCACAATGGACATATATTAAATCCTACCCCCCTCCCCAAAAACAAACAAACAAACAAACAAACAAAACAGAAAACGTTTGAAGAGAAAACCATACAGAATGCTTTCCTGGAAGAGATTTTAGAAATAACTTTGTTGATATCCTTCACTTTGAGCTACAATTCCAAGAAGCAGATGGTTGAGCGACTTGCTGACCTCGTCCCACAGCCCTTGAGAAACAGCTCTGAGGACAAAGAGACTCTAGTGTGGCCAGCTGAAATTCTGGCGACAGCAAGCGCTTGAAGGTACTCACAGGTAGAGACAGCCACCGTCATTGACAGAGCTTTGGTAAGGTACCAATCCAGCGAAGAGGTGGATCGGAGAACAGACTGACTGCACAGCCTGGTTCCGTCCCTCCTGCTGGCCTCAAGCTTCAGGACCTCGGCCAGTTCCCGGGGCCTCTGTGGGCCTGAGTCGTTTTACTGTCAAATGAGGAAGTGAAACTATTGGGTTGTCGGAAAAGTCATGACGTATTTTTTCTATGTTTTTCGTTGCAAAAATGCATCATGACTTTTCCGACAACCCAACAGATAATCTTGAAAAGTCTGGTTCCAGGGTGAAAACTCGGTTCTGATGTCAACGAAAATGTACTACGTGCCAAGCAGGGAAATAATCTCAAGGTCACAGAGGGACAAGGTTTATCAGCTGTCCCGATGTCATGGGACGCCACCCAGCAAGGGGTCCCACCAGCACTCCTGGGGGAGGCTTGGGAATCACAGAGGTGGAGAAGTTGGTCGGGATCCACGGGATGTTGAGGGGTTGCCCAAAGGACAGGTGGGAAAAGCACAGCAGAGGTCAACTTTGCCGAGGGGTCCTGAATGCTAACGTCAGGGAACTGGGTTCATCCGGCAGGCAACGGGGAGCCCCTCCAGAAGCGAAAGCCAGCAGGTCTG